CATTACATTTATGCTCAACATCTGAAAACAGCTATTACGCATGTCAAATTTGCAGTTTTCACATGTTGAGCTTAAATTTCACACGTGAAACCATATTTTCACATGTATTTAATTTAGAGTTCACATGTTAACAACACTTTTTCACATGTGAGGAGAATAACATGTTTTCAACTCACATGTGAATTGCAGTTTCACATGTCAAATTTGCGGTTTCAGATGTTAAAAACTTTCACATGTGAAAATCGGATATTCAGTTTCACTTGTGAAAAACATTCATGTGAAAATCTATTGCCTTTTCACATATGAAAAACATTCACGTGATTGTTTTTCACATGTGAACTTACAATTCCACATGTGAAAGTGAGATTTTCACATATGAAACTGCAAATTAGGTTTTTACATGTGATTGTTTTTCACGTGAACTTGCAATTCCACATGTGAAAGGGAAAATCTAATTTGGCATTTCACATGTAAAAAAACACGTGTTTAAATAATGTTATATTCTCCTCGAATGTGAAAAGATGGTGTTAACATGTTGCAGTAGCAATGGTTCCACCGGTGGAATTAGGGTGATCATATCTAAAATGCCCAAATGTGGGACAAGGGAACGATTTTGCGGGACTTTCGCAGAACAGTGGACAGAATACATTTTTTGGGGGCAGGATAATGGATCACGTTCAAGTGGTGACATAGTTCTTCTGTATGAAGGTAACTGCCTGTTAAAGGGTCAATCCTTAGTTGCTACATCCATTTTTGGACTTACAAATTAATAATATGTACCCATTGATTCTTAAAGAATATAACGTATAAATGCCTCATGAGCTTAGTTCAACTGTCGTAACCCATCAGAACCCAAAATATACACTTGTTTTACTGCAATGTTTGTAAACAAAGTAAATGTAAACAACTATTGTATAGCCTGAAAACATGGTTAAAACTATAGTTTTGATATCATGAACGGTCAACTTGTGCCATCAAATCCCTGCAACTTATTCAGGACATGGCAGCCCTCCTGGTTTTCAACCTTCCCAAGTTCTCCCATGTCACCCCGCTCCTCTGCAGACTCCTCTGGCTTCCAGTCGAAGCTCCCATCCACTACAACACCATGGTGCTTGCCTAAGGAGCAGCAAGAGGAACTGCCCCTTCCTACCTTCAGGCTATGCTCAAACCCTATACCCCAACCCGAGCACTCCGTTCTGCCACCTCAGGTCTCTTAGCCCGCAGCTCCTGCTCAGCCCAGACCAAGCTCTTCTCTGTCCTGGCACCCCAATGGTGGAACCAGCATCCCCCTGAAACTATGACAGCAGAGTCCCTACCCATCTTCCAAAAGCACCTGAAACCCTACCTCTTCAAAGAGTATCTTAAATAACCCTCACCTCGACCCTTAGAAGCTATCAGACTTTGCTGATAGCTACTTCATTGAGGAAAAGTGTACTTACTATGCCTGTGATATGTGGTTGTCCCACCTACCTATCTTAAGATGAATACACTAACTGCTAAATGACTAAAATGTTAAATGTAATCCATAGTGTAGACTATAGATTTCAGAGTGGTTGCATTTCTCCAACCCCATCCCTCAGCTTTCTACTGAAACTGTGGTGGGGAAAACATTTTGTTAAAGTTTCAATTAAGGATTGCCGCTTTAAACACCTTTAATAGAGTAATAGTGTTATTATATGGTGCGATCCTCTAGTGAGTGAGTTACTTTTGTGCTGTTAATATCAAGCCAAACTTCTGAAGTCGAGAACAAAAATGTTAGTATTGCAAACAAAAATAATGATATTGAAAGCAAAACATAAAACCAAAAGTATTGATAGCAAAACAAAATATTGCAAGGAAATAATTTCAAAATGCGAGAACAAATGAATTGTAAATGGATGAAAAAACATATTTTTCTGTGATTTATTTTAATGGTAGAAGGATTTAAAAATAAAACACATCCTTCTTTCCTGCAATTTTCTCTATCTTTGGTTATGTTACCCTGGCCTTTGCTTTTTCTGCCTTTGTTCCAGTTGTACGTTTCGGCATATTCATTCCAGCAATATAGTACCCTGCATCCCGCTGCTGGTTTGCCACTGAAGCTAAGCAGGGTCGGTTGTGGTCAGTCCATGGATGGGAGACCAGATGTACAGTGAGGGGAAAAAAGTATTTGATCCCCTGCTGATTTTGTACGTTTGCCCACTGACAAAGAAATGGTCAGTCTATAATTTTAATGATAGGTTTATTTGAACAGTGAGAGACAGAATAACAACAAAAGAATCCAGAAAAACGCATGTCAAAAATGTTATAAATTGATTTGCATTTTAATGAGGGAAATAAATATTTTACCCCCTCTCAATCAGAAAGATTTCTGGCTCCCAGCTGTCTTTTATACAGGTAACGAGCTGAGATTAGGAGCACACTCTTAAAGGGAGTGCTCCTAATCTCATTTTGTTACCTGTATAAAAGACACCTGTCCACAGAAGCAATCAATCAATCAGATTCCAAACTCTCCACCATGGCCAAGACCAAAGAGCTCTCCAAGGATGTCAGGGACAAGATTGTAGAACTACACAAGGCTGGAATGGGCTACAAGACCATCGCCAAGCAGCTTGGTGAGAAGGTGACAACAGTTGGTGCGATTATTCGCAAATGGAAGAAACACAAAATAACTGTCAATCTCCCTCGGCCTGGGGCTCCATGCAAGATCTCACCTCGTGGAGTTGCAATGATCATGAGAACGGTGAGGAATCAGCCCAGAACTACACGGGAGGATCTTGTCAATGATCTCAAGGCAGCTGGGACCATAGTCACCAAGAAAACAATTGGTAACACACTACGCCGTGAAACTGAAATCCTGCAGCGCCTGCAAGGTCCCCCTGCTCAAGAAAGCACATATACAGGCCCGTCTGAAGTTTGCCAATGAACATCTGAATGATTCAGAAGAGAACTGGGTGAAAGTGTTGTGGTCAGATGAGACCAAAATCGAGCTCGTTGGCATCAACTCAACTCGCTGTGTTTGGAGGAGGAGGAATGCTGCCTATGACCCCAAGAACACCATCCCCGCCATCAAACATGGAGGTGGAAACATTATGCTTTGGGGGTGTTTTTCTGCTAAGGGGACAGGACAACTTCACCGTATCAAAAGGACGATGGACGACGCCATGTACCGTCAAATCTTGGGTGAGAACCTCCTTCCCTCAGCCAGGGCATTGAAAATGGGTCGTGGATGGGTATTCCAGCATGACAATGACCCAAAACACATGGCCAAGGCAACAAAGGAGTGGCTCAAGAAGAAGCACATTAAGGTCCTGGAGTGGCCTAGCCTGTCTCCAGACCTTAATCTCATAGAAAATCTGTGGAGGGAGCTGAAGGTTTGAGTTGCCAAACGTCAGGCTCGAAACCTTAATGACTTGGAGAAGATCTGCAAAGAGGAGTGGGACAAAATCCCTCCTGAGATGTGTGCAAACCTGGTGGCCAACTACAAGAAACGTCTGACCTCTGTGATTGCCAACAAGGGTTTTGCCACCAAGTACTAAGTAATGTTTTGCAGAGGGGTCAAATACTTATTTCCCTCATTAAAATGCAAATCAATTTCTAACATTTTTTACATGCGTTTTTCTGGATTTTTGTTGTTGTTATTCTGTCTCTCACTGTTCAAATAAACCTACCATTAAAATTATAGACTGATCATGTCTTTGTCAGTGGGCAAACGTACAAAATCAGCAGGGGATCAAATACTTTTTTCCCTCACTGTAGCTGGAAGTGGTGAACTCAAAAACCTAATATGTCTGACTCATTTGAACACTAAAAATCAAAGAAGTGAAATTGCTCACATGATTTGTTCACACACGTGCCCGAAAACCATGTGACTTTCTCAAGGGAAGTCATCTTAGAACAACCAGAGTGAAAGCTGGTTTATTCAAGTGACTAATTCTCGCCACACAAAACACATACAGTACATTATGCTTCCAGACCAGGGATAGACGTGGATATCATCCTTCTCCATTTTACATTCGACACTCTGAATTATACATAGGAAGATAGGAAATCTACAAAATTAGTGATAAACTGTGTTAACAGATGCAGTGCGCCAAACAATCTATATAATATTCAGTAGTTGACTTCAGCGCATACCATATATAAGGTGAGTTTGTGAATCATTCCAAAGGCTATATACAGTGCCTTCAGAAAGTATTCATACCCCTTGACTTATTCCACATGTTGTGTTACAGCCTGAATTCAAAATGGATTAAATATATTTTTTTCTCACCCATCTACACACAATACCCCATAATGACAAAGTGAAATATGTTTTTAGGAATGTTAGCGAATGTTTTGAAAATGTGCATAAGTATTCACACCCTTTAGTCAATACTTTGTAGAAGCACCTTTGGCAGCGATTACAGCTGTGAGTCTTTCTGGCCTGTATCTTTGTAGTGACTGGGTTTATTGATACACCATCCAAAGTGTAATTAATAACTTCACCATGCTCAAAAAGGATATTCAATGTCTGCTTTTTATTTAATTTTTACCCATCTACCAATAGGTGCCCTTCTTTGCGAGGCATTGGAAAACCTCCCTGGTCTTTGTGGTTGAATCTGTGCTTGAAATTGACTGCTCGACTGAGGGACCTTACAGATGAGGTAGTCATTCAAACATCATGTTAAACACTATTATTGCACACAGAGTGAGTCCATGCAACTTATTATGTGACTTGTTAAGCACATTTTCACTCCTGAACTTACTTAGGCTTGCCATAAGAAAGGGGTTTAATACTTATTGACTCAAGACATTTCAGATTTTCATTTGTAATTAATTAGTAAAAATATTGAAAAACATAATTCGACTTCAACATCATGGGGTATTGTGTATAGGCCTGAGACACAAATCTCAATTTAATCAATTTAAAATTTGGGCTGTGACACAACAAAATGTGGAAAAAGTCAAGGGGTGTGAAGGCACTGTGTCATCCTATATGATGACATTATCATGACAAACATCAGATATCCCTTATCCCTTCAGCTGAGTTGGTCTTCATACTGTTTCCGGAAACAGTCACCGACAGGAAAGAATTCCCAGCATCGCTCCTGGTACATCTTCCATACATAGGATTCCTGTCAAGGATAAGTCAACAGGAATTAATATATTAGGCTACATCATGATCTTTCATGTAACTTGATGCACAGAATAGGTGGATATCAGCAGTATTACCTGGCCCGTGTGTTCTGTTTCATCTTTGTTAATGAGGTACATCACAAAGAATCTGTCAGGAGAGAACAGGTTGAGAGACACATTGAACATGCCACTATTACAGGCAGTAGAACATGGACGATTTGGAAACAGGGATGAGGCTTTCACAACAAAGAAATTGAATCTCGTTCTACTGTATTGAAAATGTACGGTATACGTAGCAATACATATGTTGAAAGTTACAGTACACCATAACAGTAAGTGTAACTGAGTCAGATCGTACCAGATAAACTCACCCCACAGCTTGAAATGGCGCCAATGAATTGAATCCTTTTTAGTGGCGTAACTGGTTGTTGTAATTGGTATGTTGTAAAGCAGGGCGGTCACGTGTTGGCAAGGCAGAGGGCGTGAGCTAGTGGTGCGCGAGTCAGCTGTTTGTTAATCTGCAATTGCTAATAACCCATCCACAACCGCCCGACTATACAGTGGGGAGAACAAGTATTTGATACACTGCCGATTTTGCAGGTTTACCTACTTACAAAGCATGTAGAGGTCTGTAATTTTTATCATAGGTACACTTCAACTGTGAGAGACGGAATCTAATACAAAAATCCAGAAAATCACATTGTATGATTAAGTAATTAATTTGCATTTTATTGCATGACATAAGTATTTGATACATCAGAAAAGCAGAACTTAATATTTGGTACAGAAACCTTTGTTTGCAATTACAGAGATCATACGTTTCCTGTAGGTCTTGACCAGGTTTGCACACACTGCAGCAGGGATTTTGGCCCACTCCTCCATACAGACCTTCTCCAGATCCTTCAGGTTTCGGGGCTGTCGCTGGGCAATACGGACTATTAGCTCCCTCCAAAGATGTTCTATTGGGTTCAGGTCTGGAGACTGGCTAGGCCACTCCAGGACCTTGAGATGCTTCTTACGGAGCCACTCCTTAGTTGCCCTGGCTGTGTGTTTCGGGTCGTTGTCATGCTGGAAGACCCAGCCACGACCCATCTTCAATGCTCTTACTGAGGGAAGGAGGTTGTTGGCCAAGATCTCGCGATACATGGCCCCATCTATCCTCCCCTCAATACGGTGCAGTCGTCCTGTCCCCTTTGCAGAAAAGCATCCCCAAAGAATTATGTTTCCACCTCCATGCTTCACAGTTGGGTGGTGTTCTTGGTGTTGTACTCATCCTTCTTCTTCCTCCAAACACAATGAGTGGAGTTTAGACCAAAAAGCTCTATTTTTGTCTCATCAGACCACATTACCTTCTCCCATTCCTCCTCTGGATCATCCAGATGGTCATTGGCAAACTTCAGATGGGCCTGGACATGCGCTGGCTTGAGCAGGGGGACCTTGCGTGCGCTGCAGGATTTTAATCCATGACGGCGTAGTGTGTTACTAATGGTTTTCTTTGAGACTGTGGTCACAGCTCTCTTCAGGTCATTGACCAGGTCCTGCCGTGTAGTTCTGGACTGATCCCTCACCTTCCTCATGATCATTGATGCCCCACGAGGTGAGATCTTGCATGGAGCCCCAGACCGAGGATGATTGACCGTCATCTTGAACTTCTTCCATTTTCTAATAATTGCGCCAACAGTTGTTGCCTTCTCACCAAGCTGCTTGCCTATTGTCCTGTAGCCCATCCCAGCCTTGTGCAGGTCTACAATTGTATCCCTGATGTCCTTACACAGCTCTCTGGTCTTGGCCATTGTGGAGAGGTTGGAGTCTGTTTGATTGAGTGTGTGGACAGGTGTCTTTTATACAGGTAACGAGTTCAAACAGGTGCAGTTAATACAGGTAATGAGTGGAGAACAGGAGGGCTTCTTAAAGAAAAACTAACAGGTCTGTGAGAGCCGGAATTCTTACTGGTTGGTAGGTGATCAAATACTTATGTCATGCAATAAAATGCAAATTAATTACTTAAAAAATATAATGTGATTTTCTGGATTTTTGTTTTAGATTCCGTCTCTCACAGTTGAAGTGTACCTATGATAAAAATTACAGACCTCTACATGCTTTGTAAGTAGGAAAACCTGCAAAATCGGCAGTGTATCAAAAAGTTGTTCTCCCCACTGTATGTGATAAAGTGAAAATCTGTGGCCCGCACCTGACCCTAACCGCTTATATACAAAAATGTGCTGTAGGCTACAGTCAGAGACAGCAGGAAAACAATTGACGGGGGTGAAGGATTTTATTTGCCTGATTTAGTTTCTGTTTATAATTTCCAACATTTTGGTAGGCTATTTGTTCATCAATTTGTCTATAATTAAATCTAGTTGACCACAGTAAAGTTCTCTATCATCTCTGCTTCTTTTGTGGAGCAAAGACATTTAGGGACCGGGAAGAAAATGCAATAACTCTAAAGAAATGGGAAAGTTTCCAAATGACATCAGTTTGACCGAATGTAAGGAAATACAAAGCTATGAAAATGCCCTAACATGTTTCTGATAAGGTTTCAGATTGGCTTGGATGCATATTTTATGTGGTTGAAATACTATCAGCTTTTATGATGCTTATAAAGATAGCACCTCTACACTCTTTGGAAAAAAAGGTTCCAAAACTGTTTTTCGGCTGTCCCCATAGAACCCCTTTTGGGTTCCATGTAGAACCCTCTGTGGAAAGAGTTTTACATGGAACCCAAAATGGTTCTACCTAGAACCAAAAATAGTTTTTCAAAGGGTTATTGTATGGGGACAGCCAAAGAACCATTATAGGTTCTAGATAGCACCTTTTTTTCTAAGAGTGTATCTAACTGCACATTCACATTCTCTCAAGATGATGAAATAAATAAATCATATTTCTCCACTCGTTCCCGAGCAAAAATGTATACGCATACAAGCTGCTGATGTATGCCTTTGGAACATCTACATTTAAACAAGTCAAATAAATCCATTTAATATAGCCTACACCATCACAATAAAATCCATTATTTATTTAGTTGTGATAGGCGTATAAACCTGGGAATATCTTTGAAATCAAAACATAAGGGATGCATGATGCAACCGTACACTGAGTGGGGGCAATAAGGGGTGTAACTCAATATTAGAAAGATGTTCCTAATGTTTTGTACACTCAAATTGATGATTTGGAAAAGTGTTTTAAAAAGGCATGCGCTCTGACCCTTCCCGCAGAGAGAGAGAGAGAGTCAATTGCATTGCTGCTCTGCCTGTGTGGCAAGCAAGTTAGGGGATATCTAATCAATGGAAGATGGAATTAAAATGACAGAATTAAAAGTGAAATGAAAAAGAAAGGCTACAATGACCAAAAGCCAACAGGTAGTCTGCTATTTAGGCTATAATCTGAATGGAGTTGTTGTCATGTGTTGCTAAATGTAGGACGGCAAGAAGCGCAGTAATGTTTGGCTAGCCTCAATTAGCTAGTTTCTCTCGGTTTGATGCAGTCAAGACAGATACTATGTAATCGGATGGGATGATAAATAACTAGCAAGAAGTTAGTCTAGCGCGAGATAAAAGTCGTTGCAGTCTTTCCCTCTGTGCCTGCTCCGGTGCTCTGAGCCTCCGTGTCTTACTCACCGACATTCACACACACACACACACAACACCGCAGGGCCTCTACTCCCTAATAGCCTACATCTGCTCACTCTGAGCCTCTCACTCTCCCATTTGGTAATTGCTCCGGTTTAATAAAGTAGCAAAACAATTAGCTTTTCTGCTGCATCTCTCACTCAGATCAGACCGGGTGTCCTTTAGGTCCTTTTGGAACGGGTTTTAAAAATAAATGTATACATATCGAGTCTGGGGCTTTCCAGTGTCCATTTCCTAACAGGAGAACTCCCATCACCATTTCACCTCTTCAGATTATTCAAATTCAATCATGAAGGGATTAGAGGGACTCCCAGGCCATTAGCAAATTGGGTAGGCTACCCATCAGCGCCATTCATTTGCACAGTTTTGGATGGGATTAACGTGACCGACGATCAGTGGGAATTTGACTTCCGTCAGGACTCGTGACTGCCGTTGTGGCGGGAATACTGTCAGTGTCCAGATTTCAGTTTCCATTTAACCCATCTGAACAGTAGGCTACAGTTCCCTTGAAGTGCCATAGGCCTATTTGACGTCTCTGTCTTGTGACTGTCTAATTTGTATTGCGCCTCACAATCATCACATATAACATAGCCGGCACTGCTATCATCCTCTTTTACCACTTCACCAAATCTTTCCCAAACATTACTTTTCTGGCCCTCCCTTCTCTGTATTTTCAACTCTCCATTTTGCAGCTTTTCTCCTATTGAATTAAACTCCGACATTGTCCTTTTTGCCTCCGTGGATCGACGTTAACTTTTTCTGCCCGTTCCCAAAAGCATTTGGCGATTGGCGTGTAACGGTAGCTAACTCCGTTCCGTACATATGTGGGCAACCGCGGCATTCAAACGAGGCTACAATGAAAACTAATGGGACTGTAGCGACTGTGTGTTCGCATCAAAATCCGGGGTGTGAACTAAATTTAGATTCAGCGTTGATTGACATGGTAATGAATCAATAGTATTGGAGAAAAGTTGAAAAAACTGACCCCGCTGGCGTGTCAGAATTTATTCTGTGCCGTACAGCCTCTTTCCACCAGGTGTAGCGCTTCTCTCGCAGATTAAAAACAAGAAATGAACAATGGTGAGTGTAAAGTTAATTACTCGTGAGTTCATCAATAGTTAATTCAATCAATTGTTAATTTTTCGCGTAATCACTGCGAGCCATCATGACTCAAAAACCGTGACACCCACAGTTTAATTGTGAAGTTAAATTTAGCGCCGCCCTAAAAACACTATTCAATTTTGACACACACCTTCAAATAGGTATGTAATGAGACATTATATAAACTCTTTATAGTGTTTTATTTACATTTTAGAGGTGATAAATTGGACAAATCGGGTGAAAAAAGCCGCTTCCCCACACAACATTTATCCCCCTTTCACTTTGACGCAGTAGATTTCGCTTCCCCACCCTCCATTTTTATAAAGACCCGGCAGAGCTCCATTGCTTTCTTCAATCATGAAGAGACGGGCAGCATGAAGGTCTCGTCATTGATTTTGCTGGAAAGGGGAGAAATTGTGCTTTACAATGATATTAATATTACAGTTGACCTGGAAGAATTACGTTTTTGTGGCGCTAAAATATGGTAAAATGTACGGAACAGCTTGATGTACAAAAGTGTGTTAGCGTTAGGCTATATGCCCTGCATACAGTTAGGCCCTAAAGCTTGGGTTTATGCACTAATGCCAGATAGCCTAAAATAATGAAAGCAAAACCTAATGTAGCCTATAGATATAAATTCACAAGAATGACACATTTATGTATTTTTTTAAGGTATAGTTTTCTCTGTATTCAATCCGCCTGCCGCCCACCCACCCTTCACCCACACAATATTTCATGACCCTAAACCCACCCGCCCCTCAGATATAACCGCTGGGACTGTGGGTTATGAGTTAACCCGCGCATCACTAGCGTGAGTGCAGGTAGGATATTGTGAGCGAGGAAGCAATACTGCTAAGCAGTACAGTGACGACTGTTACATAACCACATGCAATGTTAGCTGGCCTTAGCAAACTATTATGGAAGTATCGTCTAATTTTGATGGGGAGGCCTGTATAATTGACTCACCAATTATAACGATGTCAGTCATTTCCAACTCATATAATAATAAGTCTTACATGATTAGAGATGAATATCAACTTATATAAAATACCCTAAATAATGAAACGACTCATTGATATTGACATTAATAATAAACTGTTGAAGAGAGCTAAGAGCGACCATTTAGGCGTTGGACACCACATTGCTGCTTAACACCACATTAAATGTAATAGTATATATTGACATCTATATACAGTACCAGTCAAACGTTTGGACACACCTACTCATTCAAGGGTTTTTCTTTATTTTTACTATTTTCTACATTGTAGAATAATAGTGAAGACATCAAAACTATAAAATAACACATATGGAATCATGTAGTAACCAAAAAAGTGTTAAACAAATCAAAATATATTTTATATTAGAGATTTTTCAAAGTAGCCACCCTTTGCCTTGATGACAGCTTTGCACACTCTTGGCATTCTCTCAACCAACTTCACCTGGAATGCTTTTCCAACAGTCTTGAATTAGTTCCCACATATGATGAGCACTTATTGGCTGCTTTTCCTTCACTCTGCGGTCCAACTCATCCCAAACCATCTCAATTGGGTTGAGGTCGGGTGATTGTGGAGGCCAGGTCATCTGATGCAGCACTCCATCACTCTCCATCTTGGTCAAATAGCCCTTACACAGCCTGGAGGTGTTTTGGGTCATTGTCCTGTTGAAAAACAAATGATAGTCCCACTAAGCGCAAACCAGATGAGATTGCGTATCGCTGCAGAATGCTGTGGTAGCCATGCTGGTTAAGTGTGCCTTGAATTCTAAATAAAATCACACAGTGTCACCAGCAAAGTGCCCCCACACCATCACATCTCCTCCTCCATGCTTCACGGTGGGAACCACACATGCGGAGATCAGCCGTTCACCTACTCTGCGTCTCACAAAGACACGGCGGTTGGAACCAAAAATCTCAAATTTGGACTCATCAGACCAAAGGACAGATTTCCACCGGTCTAATGTCCATTGCTCGTGTTTCTTGGCCCAAGCAAGTGTCTTCTTCTTATTGGTGTCCTTTAGTAGTGGTTTCTTTGCAGCAATTCGACCATGAAGGCCTGATTCACACAGTCTCCTCTGAACAGTTGATGTTGAGATGTGTCTGTTACTTGAACTCTGTGAAGCATTTATTTGGGCTGCAATCTGAGGTGCAGTTAACTCTAATGAACTTATCCTCTGCAGCAGAGGTAACTCTGGGTCTTCCTTTCCTGTGGCGGTCCTCATGAGAGCCAGTTTCATCATAGCGCTTGATGGTTTTTGCGACTGCACTTGAAGAAACTTTAAAAGTTCTTGACATTGTCCGGATTGGCTGACCTTCTTGTCTTTAAAGTAATGATGGACTGTCGTTCCTCTTTGCTTATTTGAGCTGTTCTTGCCATAATATGGACTTGGTATTTTACCAAATAGGGATATCTTCTGCATACCACCCCTACCTTGTCACAACACAACTGATTGGCTCAAACGCATTAAGATGGAAAGAAATTTCACAAATTAACTTTTAACAAGGCACACCTGTTAATTGAAATGCATTCCAGGTGACTACCTCATGAAGCTGGTTGAGAGAATGCCAGGAGTGTGCAAAGCTGTCATTAAGGCAAAGGGTGGCTATTTGAAGAATCTCAAATATAAAATATATTTTGATTTGTTTAACAGTTTTTTGGTTACTACATGATTCCATATGTGTTATTTCATAGTTTTGATGTCTTCACTATTATTCTACAACGTAGAAAATAGTAAAAATTAAGAAAAACCCTGGAATGAGTAGGTGTGTCCAAACCTTTGACTGGTACTGTACATTTCCTGTTGGACATGTGAACCTCCACATAAATTGAGATGCTGTCAAATGTGGACATGACAATGATTCCTTCAATCATTGGCTAATCACAGAGCAGATCTTCTAAATGGCTATACCCAATCACGGTCATATTACTGCCTACAAAACTACAGTACACCTGTCAAATATCTGATGGAAGTACATGACAAGCAATTACCCCCATTTCACACATTAAAGGTTTAAAAAAAAATATATATATATATATAAGAAAATGTTCTGCTTAACAAGTCGTGTAAGACAGAGGTATGACATGTCAGCAATCATCGTATGACAGGCATGTCATTCCTGTGATAGTGGGATGACAATGTTGTGAGCATGTTAGTCCGGAGCCTAGACGTCAGGCACACGAGGCTACAGTATGGGAGGTTTGTTTAAGTAAAGTGTTACCAAACAGTGAAACTAGACCGCAGGTATCAACTCACAGATAGTTGGCCAGGTTGTGTTCCTGCAGAGTGTGTGTTTCGAATCCATGGGGCACGTTGTCCAAGTAGTCATTCCCTATTCCACAGATGAAACACTTGGTCTACAGGGAAGGAAGAGAGAGGTGTCTGACATTTACATAACACATTTATAGCACATGCATATTGTTCGACGTGAATAACATAAAGAGACAACCAACATGACAAGTACTTATTGTGTTAAAGACAGTGAATGCATTCCCCTAATTCTAACTCTGCTTTAGTTGTTTTCATGTATATTCTAGAAGTAATTTGGAATATCGTAAAAGTTGATTCATTTTAGACTGGATAATCATTAGGGCTGTTAATCAGTTAACTCAAGTTAACTTGTAGTAATTTTAGTGCAATATTTTTTATTTTCTCGCAATTAATCGCATTGTCTGAAAGAATTGAAAACACATTGAAAACATCCAAAATACATAATCTATACAACTAAAATCTACAATGTGATGTAAAAACAAGTTGACATTGAGGTTAAAGTGTGCTTTCTCAACAATGCGATTAATCACGATTAATCACAGCAAATCCTGCGATTAACTTGATTACATTTATTTTCTTCATTTGACAGCCCTAGTAATCAAATGATGGAATTAACACATTTGCATTTCACAAGATCTAGTCATTATGCAGAAATATACTCTCCGACTTTCAGAACACCTTATTCCTTAAAGTGGTGTGTGCACATGCACATGCATGTGAGAGTGTTGACTATAAAAGGTTCCCATCTACTTCAATTTAAAGCTATATAGGGATGCAGATATGTATTTTCTGATAAACCACAGCCCAGGTTATATCTGCCAATGCAATTTAATTTTTTTTTTCAAAACATGGTCTAATTATCTCCATCTCATTAGAGATACAGTGGGGAGAACAAGTATTTGATACACTGCCGATTTTGCAGGTTTTCCTACTTACAAAGCATGTAGAGGTCTGTAATTTTTATCATAGGTACACTTCAACTGTGAGAGACGGAATCTAAAACAAAAATCCAGAAAATCACATTGTATGATTTTTAAGTAATTAATTTGCATTTTATTGCATGACATAAGTATTTGATACATCAGAAAAGCAGAACTTAATATTTGTACAGAAACCTTTGTTTGCAATTACAGAGATCATACGTTTCCTGTAGGTCTTGACCAGGTTTGCACACACTGCAGCAGGGATTTTGGCCCACTCCTCCATACAGACCTTCTCCAGATCCTTCAGGTTTCGGGGCTGTCACTGGGCAATACGGACTTTCAGCTCCCTCCAAAGATTTTCTATTGGGTTCAGGTCTGGAGACTGGCTAGGCCACTCCAGGACCTTGAGATGCTTCTTACGGAGCCACTCCTTAGTTGCCCTGGCTGTGTGTTTCGGGTCGTTGTCATGCTGGAAGACCCAGCCACGACCCATCTTCAATGCTCTTACTGAGGGAAGGAGGTTGTTGGCCAAGATCTCGCGATACATGGCCCCATCCATCCTCCCCTAAATACGGTGCAGTCGTCCTGTCCCCTTTGCAGAAAAGCATCCCCAAAGAGTGATGTTTCCACCTCCATGCTTCACGGTTGGGATGGTGTTCTTGGGGTTGTACTCATCCTTCTTCTTCCTCCGAACACGGCGAGTGGAGCTTAGACCAAAAAGCTCAATATTTGTCTCATCAGACCACATGACCTTCTCCCATTCCTCCTCTGGATCATCCAGATGGTCATTGGCAAACTTCAGATGGGCCTGGACATGCGCTGGCTTGAGCAGGGGGACCTTGCGTGCGCTGCAGGATTTTAATCCATGACGGCGTAGTGTGTTACTAATGGTTTTCTTTGAGACTGTGGTCCCAGCTCTCTTCAGGTCATTGACCAGGTCCTGCCATGTAGCTCTGGGCTGATCCCTCACCTTCCTCATGATCATTGATGCCCCATGAGGTGAGATCTTGCATGGAGCCCCAGACCGAGGGTGATTGACCGTCATCTTGAACTTCTTCAATTTTTTTATAATAGCGCCAACAGTTGTTGCCTTCTCACCAAGCTGCTTGCCTATTGTCCTGTAGCCCATCCCAGCCTTGTGCAGGTCTACAATTTTATCCCTGATGTCCTTACACAGCTCTCTGGTCTTGGCCATTGTGGAGAGGTTGGAGTCTGTTTGATTGAGTGTGTGGACAGGTGTCTTTTATACAGGTAATGAGTTCAAACAGGTGCAGTTAATACAGGTAATGAGTGGAGAACAGGAGGGCTTCTTAAAGAAAAACTAACAGGTCTGTGAGAGCCGGAATTCTTACTGGTTGGTAGGTGATCAAATACTTATGTCATGCAATAAAATGCAAATTAATTACTTAAAAATCATACAATGTGATTTTCTGGATTTTTGTTTTAGATTCCGTCTCTCACAGTTGAAGTGTACCTATGATAAAAATGACAGACCTCTACATGCTTTGTAAGTAGGAAAACCTGCAAAATCGGCAGTGTATCAAATACTTGTTCTTTTAGATTCCGTCTCTCACAGTTGAAGTGTACCTATGATAAAAATTACAGACCTCTACATGCTTTGTAAGTAGGAAAACCTGCAAAATCGGCAGTGTATCAAATACTTGTTCTCCCCACTGTACATACATAGGTGTGTGTGAACGCTTTTATGAAAGCATGTTACTTATCTCACCTCCATGTCCTCTTTCACCTGCTCCTGCTGGTCACGGAGCTCCCCAAAGGCATCAATTATCAAACCTACAGGAAACACAGACATGAGTGTGTGTGTCACAAGTATGTGTGCATGTGTATGATTACGTGACAGGTTACAGGATAACTATAAGATACTGGAGGGATAAACAGATACATTAGCATTCCTCTATTCTCAATCGCATATGAAATATTCATCAAGACAGACAAATCTGTCTGACCCACTGGTGAATAATGGAGAAGAATTTGTGTGTGTATGCGGTGTGTGTGTGTGTATATGTATCGTCAACATGCTGTCTCACCCTGAATGATGGCCAGGAGGATGACGATGACGAAGAAGAAGAAGGTGATGTCGAAGATGATCCTGACCACCTCAAACTCGTCCCCGGCCGGGTCCTCAATCTCGTCACCGATGCCACCCCCCGCGCGAACGCCCACATACATATGGAACATATAGCACTGGAGAACAAGTAGGAGTAGCCAATTGACTTTGCTACTTAACATTGCTGGGGTAGTCCATGGGGGATACACAGCTCTTATTATGAACGAGTTGAGCGATCTTACTCTTTAACTAAACATGTTGTTGCTGAGATATTGCATGCATATACATATCTACGTGTCATACTAACATTACCGGTGAACCTTCAAGTCTGGTGTATTGTATTGTAATGCAATGCATTTCTAAAGCATAACAAGTCTGTCTGTCTGTCCTCAGTGAGTGACAGTGAAATTCATATTGAAATAAAACAGACAAGGCCATTATAAAGTAGAGAATTAATTCCCAGTGAGACAAAGAGCCCAGCTCAAGCTGGAGAGGGTTATCTTAATCCAAGTGTCCATCAATCCAGGGTGGATATAGAGGGGCATTAAGGCTATGTTCACCTCAACTATGGGCATCACTGCCAGAAATCCTCCTCCTTGGCTTATCAGACTCCTTGGCTAGTTTAGACTATGTGTGAGTGTGTGTGTGCACGTGTCTGCATGCATGTGCTACTAAATGTGCTGAACTCACAGTGAGCATGTCGTCACACTTCATGTCCAGAGCTTCTCCATCTTCACTCTTGTTGTAGAACTTGCGGAAGAAGTTGAAGGCCACCACGGTGTAGAGATACACCACCACTGCCAGCAGCCCCAAAGTCAGGACCAACTGACAAACACATATACAGCATTATGGGATTTAATACTCTCTAAAGCCCCCCCCCCTCCAAACACACACACACGGCAACAGGGTTTTCCAGTTGTCTATACTGTACCTGTTTGCCATTGTGGGTAACAGAGGTCAGGATGGTTCTTAGGGTCTTAAAGCCCATGGCAATATCCAACAGGTGAGCAGCGAAGAAGAAGTTATTATAGTGACCCAGGACAGACATGGTCATATACCATGCCAGGTACAGGAAGGACTGTGTACACACACGAGATAAGACAGGAAGACAGCTTGGGTACATCACAGACACTATAGCAACTATCATCATATGATCTACATTAATATCTATGGAAAACAAAGACTATAAAACACATACTGTATGTAAGGATGAGTCATCATCATATATATATATATATATATATATATATAACACAGTAAGACGATAAAGTATACATTCACATTTACATTTTAGTCATTTAACAGACGCTCTTATCCAGAGCGACTTACAGCTGCTTTACTTACGTTGTCAGTGAACACTACTCCTAGTTTCCACATCTGATACTTGACATCAATGGAGTTTAATCTGAAACAGACATCAATTAGATATCTAGTCAGTCTTCTTAGGCATGGATCCATCACTGTCTGTTCTATTCATTTAAGGAGACACCCTCAATAAAAATATGAGAGTCATAGAGGTAACTGTAGAGTTCAAAAAGTACTCGCTCTCAAAACCATGAAAAGGAATAACCCAAGGAGGCCGATATGCAAAAATAATACAATTATTTTAATTCATGCTCAAAGGAATACAAAAAGTGAAAGTGCAAGGTGCTATATAAAAATTCAAAAGGAACGGAGCATATCGGCCTCCTTGGGTTATTCCTTTTCATGGTTTTGAGAGAGTACTTTTTGAACTCTACAGATATTTTCTCTCCCACACACCGGCCGCCTTTCATTCCAGCCTGAACACTAACCCTCATACTGGCTTTCTTCATACAGGTAACTGCCATAATAAAAGGAACACTTGAGTAAATGAGGGAAACAAAGTATATTGAAAGCAAGTGCTTTCAACACTTATGGGAGATTCTGGAGCAGGGCCTGAGACGGCGTTTTCCACCACCATCAACAAAACACCAAATTATGACATTTCTCGTGAAAGAATGGTGTCGGATCCCTCCAATAGAGTTCCAGACACCATCTATGGCAAGGTGCATTGAAGATGTTCTGGCGGCTCGTGGTGGCCCAACACCCTTTATGTTGGTGTTTCCTTTATTTAGGTTACCTGTATATTGTACTGAACATAGAACTCCTTGAGTTTGAATATCACATATTCCTCAGATATGTAACCAAAAGGATTCAATGATATCTTGGCTCACACATCCTGTTTTATAATTTGTCATAACCATTTACAAAACACATTGGAATATTGCAATACAACCTGATTCAAACTGGTCATTACTGCCACCTTCTGTCAAGACACTTCAGAATGTAAAGTACTGCACATTCTGTTTTAATCTCATTTCTTCAAGCAAGTGATACACACAGACACACCCACGCCTGACATCAGTGCTGTCGCTTTAGACGATAATGCTCAAAGTGCTGCTGAATACAAGGTAATGTTTTCTTTGTAAAGCCAAACATCCTTAAAGCGTATCTAGAATAACAATGAAATACTCTATTTAGTTTAGAGACAAACATTTGTGGGGATTCTATAGATGGGTTGGCTTGCAACGTCACGAAAAAGATGTGCGTGCATTGAGCAGGCAGAAGTCTGTGTGGCATTATGATTCTGAATGGTCAGATAGCTAGCAACAATGACAAGAAGCTGCCATGTGGGGAATCGTAGGTGGCTCGTTTCAGATAGTTTTATCTTGTTATTGATACCATGTCTTGTTTGGAGGCGTTTTGACTCATATCACATCTATGCTAATATGGCAAAAATGTGCTAGCTAGCTAACCAACAACTGTAACAATGTATTTGAGAGACAACAAGTGCTCATTGTGCAAATTTATGTTTTCAATAAACATAGGAGACGAAATATAGTTTACATGTAGTCAACAATCTAAGCCAACCCTGTCTGTTCTGCCCCACAATTATGCATGCATTGGTTTTGTTGCTAAACAACCAACCCGTCTATCTATTCCTGGCTAGTGAAGGGTATGGCTACAGCTGACATAGTTCAGCGATGTAACTTAGTGACTGATAGACCTAGATTCTAGCCTCACACAGGAGGTATGTACAATACAGAACAGTATAGTATTGTACAGTAAACAGTACATGGCTTTAAGGGATCACACATACAGTGAGGGAAAAAAGTATTTGATCCCCTGCTGATTTTGTACATTTGCCAACTGACAAAGACATGATCAGTCTATAATTTTAATGGTAGGTTTATTTGAACAGTGAGAGACAGAATAACAAAACAAAAAATCCAGAAAAACACATGTCAAAAATGTTATACATTGATTTGCATTTTAATGAGGGCGGCAGGTAGCTTAGTGGGTAAGAGCGTTGTGCCAGTAACCGAAAGGTCGCTGGTTCTAATCCCCGAGCCGACTAGGTGAAAAATCTGTCGATGTGCCCTTAAGCAAGGCACTTAACCCTAAATGCTCCTGTAAGTCGCTCTGGATAAGAGTGTCTGCTAAATGACTAAAATGTAAATGTAAATGAGGGAAATAAGTATTTGACCCCTCTGCAAAACATGACTTAGTACTTGGTGGCAAAACCCTTGTTGGCAATCACAGAGGTCAGACGTTTCTTGTAGTTGGCCACCAGGTTTGCACACATCTCAGGAGGGATTTTGTCCCACTCCTCTTTGCAGATCTTCTCCAAGTCATGAAGGTTTCGAGGCTGACGTTTGGCAACTCGAACCTTCAGCTCCCTCCACAGATTTTCTATGGGATTAAGGTCTGGAGACTGGCTAGGCCACTCCAGGACCTTAATGTGCTTCTTCTTGAGCCACCCCTTTGTTGCCTTGGCCGTGTGTTTTGGGTCATTGTCATGCTGGAATACCCATCCACGACCCATTTTCAATGCCCTGGCTGAGGGAAGGAGGTTCTCACCCAAGATTTGACGGTACATGGCCCCCTTAGCAGAAAAACACCCCCAAAGCATAATGTTTCCACCTCCATGTTTGACGGTGGGGATGGTGTTCTTGGGGTCATAGGCAGCATTCCTCCTCCTCCAAACACGGCGAGTTGAGTTTCACCCAGTTCTCCTCTGAATCATTCAGATGTTCATTGGCAAACTTCATACGGGCCTGTAAATGTGCTTTCTTGAGCAGGGGGACCTTGCAGGCGCTGCAGGATTTCAGTCCTTCACGGCGTAGTGTGTTACCAATTGTTTTCTTGGTGACTATGGTCCCAGCTGCCTTGAGATCATTGACATGATCCTGCCGTGTAGTTCTGGGCTGATTCCTCACCGTTCTCATGATCATTGCAACTCCACAAGGTGAGATCTTGCATGGAGCCCCAGGCCGAAGGAGATTGACAGTTCTTTTGTGTTTCTTCCATTTGCGAATAATCGCACCAACTGTTGTCACCTTCTCACCAAGCTGCTTGGTGATGGTCTTGTAGCCCATTCCAGCCTTGTGTAGGTCTACAATCTTGTCCCTGACATCCTTGGAGAGCTCTTTGGTCTTGGCCATGGTGGAGAGTTTGGAATCTGATTGATTGCTTCTGTGGACAGGTGTCTTTTATACAGGTAACAAGCTGAGATTAGGAGCACTCCCTTTAAGAGTGTGCTCCTAATCTCAGCTCGTTACCTGTATAAAAGACACCTGGGAGCCAGAAATCTTTCTGATTGAGATGGGGTCAAATACTTATTTCCCTCATTAAACTGCAAATCAATTTATAACATTTTTGACATGCGTTTTTCTGGATTTTTTTGTTGTTATTCTGTCTCTCACTGTTCAAATAAACATACCATTAAAATTATAGACTGATCATTTCTTTGTCAGTGGGCAAATGTACAAAATCAGCAGGGGATCAAATAGTTTTTTCCTTCACTGTTTCCACTCACAGAGCTGTCCAGGCTCCCTCTCTCCTGGGCCTCCTCCTCTCCTGTCCCTCGGAGCTGAAGTCGAGAGCAGCCTTATCCAGCCCCAGCAGCTCACTGATGCGGTCACAGCCATAAAACTTCCCATACTTGTCCATCACCTGAAGAAAAGGGTTGAGGGTGATTGACTTTAAAAAGCAATGCTATGGAGAGAGTATAATTGCTTAAACCATTATATGGTTCATAAATCTCCAGTCTCTTTTTATGACACTAGACTGTGCTGTGATATACATGTAGACGCTGACTCAACTATACACAGAGAATCATGTGTGGTGAATAGGACTGCTGTACCTACCTTCCTTTTCACAAATTTATCCCAGTAATTACTGGGAAATGATCTGAAACAGAAAACATAATTGAGCATCATAAAACACGACTTAATTCAGAAAGAGTTCCACAATAAAAGTTGTAATGGTCTATGAGAGTCTAAGAGAGAGATCCGAGCATGCACAGTGATGCACTGATAGACTGGTTCTGTATGTCATTCCATAATTCAGCCTGATCCTCACTGAACTACACGGAACTGTAGATTAGATGAGTGTAGGACTGTAGAGTGTTGTAGTTCAACCAAAGTAGGTGATAAACAGGGTTTATTAAGCAGCTATAAAGGCCCTAAGGGGGGACTGACTGTGTGGTGATGACCAGCCTGTCCCATTGGCCTTTGATGTCCTCGTCAGGTGGCTGCTCAGTGACATAGAGGCCGTCAAACTCCATCTTCCTCGCCACGTCCTTCTCCCGCTTAAAGATAACCAGCGGGACCTACAGTAGCAGCCAATCACAAACAACAGAGTGATACAGTAAGTAGAAAAAACACTATTACTTACAAAGTTCACATTTCAAATGTACTACATTTGCTGCCTACACTCTTAGAAAAAAAGGTGCTATCTAGAACCTTAAAGGGTTCTTCGGCTAACCCCATAGGAGAACCCTTTGAATAACCATTTTTGGTTGCAGGTAAAACCCTTTTGGTTCCAGGTAGAACCCTTTTGGGTTCCTTGTAGAACCTTTTCTACAGAGGGTTCTACCTGGAACCAAAAAGTGTTCTCCTACGGGGACAGCCAAAGAACCCTTTTGGAACCCTTTTTTCTAAGAGTGTAGTTGGTGCTGGAAAACCAAATATGTGTAGCCCTCAATGGATCTAATTACTAGCTAGTATAAACTAAAGACAGAACGTGATGTACTGTAGATTCACGCAACACTAATTGGTATGCACTGTCACAGTGGACTGACTCCTGTCTGTTTGTTCCCTGTGAGCTGCCGTACCTTCAAGCAGTAGTAGCCAATGATACAGCAGAAAGAGATGAGGGTGTGAGCAATGGACAGGAAACAGAGAGAGGGCTCCATGTAACCAGTGCTCTCCTCCAGGACAAACTGCATACTGTCTGAGGTGTTGTCATCGACCAAGGGGTCTTCTTCATCCAGGTCCCCTGAGCTGTCGTAGAGCACTGCTACCTTCTCCTCTTCATCACTTACAGAAGAGGATGATGACACCTGGGACACAGTAACAATGAGACAGTTAAGGACAGTGAGACTGTCAATCAATTTCACAGACCAGCAGGACATTTCTATTTAAATATTTGCACTGGCAGTCACACAGTAACTCACCTTGTAGAAAAGGAGAATGAAGTTGATAGCGAAAGCAACAAACAAAGCCAGCATCCGCATGTTGTAGAAATTCCTCGCAAAGTAATTCTGAGAAATTAGATATGGTCAAATTCAGAGGAGCGAGAAAATACTTGTGTGTGTGTATATGTCTGTTTGTGTGTGTGATAGAGAGTTTCTAACCAACAGTTTCTTCTGGTGAGTGGTTATCATTTCCCAGAAGGCTGATTCCTGAGGCTCTGGCTCCTCAGGTTTGCTGGAGCATCTCCTAACTCTCCATTTAGCCTCCACATCCTTCTTCTCAGAATCTTCTCTTCTGCAAAGTCACTTTAAAACTTCAGCTCAAAGTCAACCTAAACGGTTTCATATTCAATTGTTTCCATCGTGTGAGATTACGCTAACCCAACAAAATATTCAGTCATTTTCTTAGTTTCACTTTGCCTGAAGTTGTTCAGGATTACAGTCAGAATGTAATCAGGCCTTTAAGGGTAGGATGAATTTGAAAAATACTCACTCTGCTTTCTCCAACTCAGACACTTTCTCTTCTCCTTCTTCACTATCTCCTTCTCTGGTACCTTCAACCTGAAGCCATTAACAGGATATGCATTAAACATGACCCAAGAGTACATTACTAACCTCTATCACAATAGTGTTTAAACAAACTGTCAACAGTTTTCGACCTAAACTGAGCAAAACGTTGAAGGGAAACATGTAATGTAATGAATACAGTATGGTTCTACGGCACCAACAAACCAAACACGCCATATCTAGGTCACGCTGGGACAAATTTCACAAAAACACTGCAATAATACCTGGTGTTTCCCATTGGGCTCAGCAGGGGATTGTTGGCCAGTGGCTGCATTGAACAGGTCAGTCAGACTGGCTGTTAAGTCATGAGTTATTAGTCTGTACTGACCTCCTTCTCTCCTCACTCGCAGACCGAAAATGTCTGACAGGACATTGGTGTCCCTGGAGGAAACTGTTGACTGGCCCAGCCCTCTTAGCTCCTCCCGGGAGGAGGACCTTGTGCTGTATCTCCTCTCCCTATAACCCCCTGACCCCCCTGTGACCTCATCGAGTGTGGGGTCAAGGATGCCACCAAAAAGGTCGAACACCCTCATCTTCTTGGCCCCCTCTATGAGTCCTCCACTTACAAAAACTACGTACAGTACATATAAGAAGAAGCGAACTACAGAACAGACAAAGTGGACCAGACCCATGATCATGGCCCGTAAGAAGGAACCAAATATCATGACTAAATCCCTCAGAGTTGTCTTCTTAATCTGCTTCTTCAGGTTCTTCACAGAGAGCATTGACATCAGCATCATCAAGCCATACGGTAGAGCGAAGACGATGAGCCATATTGTGGACATGGAGAAAAGTCCCATTTTGGATCTTTCCCCCTCCTCCTCATCATTCTTCCCCCTGTCTTTTTCTTCCTCCACTTCTGTCTCCTTGCCTGCTGACCTCTCCCCAGTGTCTGTCCCTGATATCTGGGCAGCCAGCTGCATCTCAAAGATGGTGTCCTCGCAGAAGTTGACAAACATCTCCATCTTCTCTTTCCCATCGCCCTCATTGACCACGTCGAAGATGAACTGTCTCTTGGACTCTTTGACCTGAGGCTTCTCCCACTGCGTGCGGCTGGACTCGCTGATCTCAAAGTAGACCCTCTCGATGCGCTTGCCACTGCCAAGGATCTCAATACGGCCCAGGTAGGGCTGGAAGTAGCTCAGAACACACTCTGCCAGCTGCAGAAAGGTACCAAGACGTGAATCGTGAGGCATGTGCTCCGACAGGTTGGTTAGGAGAACAGCAATGTTGAAGCCAATGTCTTTGGCTGGCTCGTGGAAGCGATCCACGAAGGCCTCGTAATCCAGGAGCTCGCTTTCATCCGTCTCCGTGCAGGAGAGTAGAAACTGGGTCTCGGATTGAGAGTAGCGCTTGTAGGCCTCCATGGCCTTCTGGAAGTCCTTCTTGGAGATGCGACCTTTGCCGTCGGGATCATACTCTTTGAATGCGTCAGAGGAGGTCAGGTCTTTGAGTTTGAGGAACATGTCGAAGAACTTTAGGATCATCTCGACATTGCTAGATGATTCCACCAACATGTCCACCATCTGCTTGCCAATTGTTCCATTTACCACATTACCTAGAGAAGAAAATGAGATGAGTTCACAAGTTTAGCTTTGTCTATTGCAATTCACAAATATATTCACCATGTAAACTACTCAACCAGTATGAATCTTACCTTCTAACATGGACAGCAACATAACAACCATTTCCTTTTGCAAATCCATCAATTCTTTCAGAAGTTCAATTTGGCTGGAATCCTATAAATAACAAAACACCAAAACAAACCATGTAACAACTAGTTTGATTGAGTGTAAATCCAAAACAAAGAAATGGCCCAATGGGAAAAAGGGAAAGCGTGTTCAGCTCTACTCTAGCTACACATGGCATTCTTTACAAGACTGGAATATTCATGGTTCATATTGACCCTGGTCCTCCATCCCATGACTTCTACAATATACTGACCTGAGACAGCTTCATCTGCATGTGAGCAAAGACATGGAGAAAGCCCACCACTGCATCCCATAGGCGACTGTGGGCCAGACTCTGCTGGTTACCAGTACATGGCCCCTGGAGAGGATAGTAATGAAAGGAACCTGTTAGCTTCCTAGCTGGGTAAACTATCAATAGCCAGAACTGAGACAAACACACATACTGTAAGAACACACATAACAACATTCACAACAGTTAAATACATGAAACACCATTCGAAATGGGTCAACCTCTCAGTGGAGAAACTGACATCAATCCCACTGGGCATAGACGTCAATTCAACGTCTATTCCACGTTGGTTTAACGTAATTTCATTGAAATGACGTTGAAACAATGTTGATTCAACCAGTGTGTGCCCAGTGGGATAAATCAGCACCTAGGGCTCAACCAACCTGGATGTACTCTGTGAGAGAGTTGAAGACCTGTTTGGCCACATTGATGGCCTTGGAGAAGTTACGCTGGCCGTGTTCGTCAATCACATCCTTCCCAGAGTAATACCAGTAGAAATCACTTATCGACTCCTGGAGACATATCAGTAGGAAGGAGATTAGAATCAGGATAGTACCAAAATATTGAAAAGGCTTGTAAATTATATTGAATCATATTACAGGCCATAAAATGTATCATACAGATAACAACGTCTCGTAGATCAAATTGTTTACCTGCACTCTGAGAAGGTAGTCCACAGTGGATATAATTATGTTCACAGTTGTGTTGTTTCCTGTTTGGGTTCTCAAATAATTCTGAAAATCTATGGGACATTTTGCAAGGGTAATCAGTTTTCAATAGCCCAATAACACGCCTCTGCCATTACACACAGAGAGAAGTGCACTGTGGTTAAAACGGTTAAGGGTGAGCACCTGAGTTGTGTCCTTCACAGAGGAGCTGTAGGAAGCGAAAAAGATCACAGGTCAACTTCTCGTCAGGCATCACTTTCTCCCCTGAGAGAGAGAGAGAGAGAGAGAGAGAGGGGGAGAGAGAGTGAGAGAGAGAGAGAAAGAGAGAGAGGGAATATAGATATGTACTGAATGAAAGATCATGAGTATGGTATCAGAGCCAAGGTTCTTTACATTCAATCTTAACTCACTTCAGCGGTCAGATCTTAGCGGTCAGTGGATTTAAAATTTCCATAATGAATGTTGTACCTGAGCTCTCCTCGATAATCATTCCTAATCCTTCGGCTTTGTTCTGCCTCTCAAACGCATTCAAATCCAGCACACTGAGTCAGAAAAGACAACAAAAGACGTACAGAGGATGAGAGCAGTCCCTGCATGTCAGTCCTGTCATTTTCACCAAGTATAGCCTCTGTGACAGATGCCATTGAGGATTATGTTGCTATGTACCCAGGGCCAGCCCTAGCCTTTTGGGGGCCCTAAGCGAGATTTGGTTGGGGGGGCCCCACATCTCGCGACAAAACATTTTAGTGACCACCCTCTTGACAGCGGAGAGAAAAAAGTTCATTTCCTGCAATTCTACACATTTTGCCATGACTTATGCCATGTTAATATGATAACTGAATGAGAATGACTAACAAAATCAATGGGGGCCACCTGGAGGTCAGGGCCCCTGGGCATGTGCCCTGCGTGCCCAGTCAGTATTCTGCCATGATTACTACAAGTTTAGATAGCTGGCTAGACTAACAACAAATCAAATAAAAAAATTGTCAGTGGCTGACATAACAAGAGAAAAACTGCTGATATACAGTGCATTCGGAAAGTATTCAGACCCCTTCCCGTTTTCCACATTTTGTTACATTACAGCCTTATTCTAAAATGGATTAAATTAAATGTTTTCCTCATCAATCTACACACAATACCCCATAACGACAAAACTAAAAAAGGTTTTTAGAAATGTTCGTAAATGTATTAAAAATAAAAACAGAAATACCTTATTTACATAAGTATTCAGACCCTTTGCTATGAGATTTTCGAAATTGAGCTCAGGTGCATCCTGTTTCCATTGATCATCCTTGAGATGTTTCTACAACTTGATTGGAGTCCACCTGTGGTAAATTCAATTGGTTGGACATGATTTGGAAAGGCACACACATGTCTATATAAGGTCCCAAAATAATTTTTGAATAAGACTGTAACGTAACAAAATGTGGAAAAAGGAGTCTGAATACTTTCCCAATGCACTGTAGCTGTGCAGTGATGCTCCCCATCCAACCTGACAGAGCCTGAGAGGATCTGCAGAGAAGAATGGGAGAAACTCCCCAAATACAGGTGTGCCAAGCGTGTAGCATCATACACAAGAAGATTCAAGGCTGAAATCACTGCCAAAGGTGCTTCAACAAAGTACTGAGAGTAACGGGTCTGTATACTTATGTAAATGTGATATTTCATTTTTTTTATTTTTTATAAATTTGCAATAATTTCTATAAACCTGGTTTTGCTTTGTCATTATGCTGAGAGGTTGTCGGGAGAGGTCGTGTTTTTCTCTGGCTGGAGGTAAGCAGGAGGTAAGCTACATGTAGTGTTGAGTAAAGCTTAACCATGTGTTAGATCGTAGGTAGGTAGTTAGCTGTAGTTAGGTATTGTATTTATTGTAGGTTAGTATTGTTGTTATTGTAGGTTTCCGTGGGTAATTGTGGGTTAGTATCGAGGCACGAGGCTAGCTAGCTAGCGGGTAGCTACAGGTAACGATTAGCAACGCTGGAGAGCTGGTTCCAATGGTAATGTAGTCCTAGCCAACGTTTAACTTTTGCTTAACCATGTATTAGATCGTAGGTAGGTAGTTAGCTGTAGTTAGGTATTGTATTTACTGTAGGTTAGTATTGTTGTTATTGTAGGTTTCCGTGGGTAGTTGTAGGTTAGTATCGAGGCACGAGGCTAGCTAGCTAGCGGGTAGCTACTGGTAAAAGATTAGCAACGTGGAGAGTGGTTCCAACGTTTAATTTTTTTTTATTTTTTTTTTTTTCGCGTTGTGAAGGGAAACTTTGACAGGACTTGAATTGTCTGTTTGGTTGGGACCCTTGGGGAGTTTGTTGTGGCCCGGGTTGATGCTAAGTTGTGTGAATGGATCTGCTTGCAGGTGGCTACGGGTCATAGCAGGCTTTGTGGGTTTTTGGGGGTAGTTACGGTTTTGGCAGTGTCCTCGGCCGTGCCCGGCTGTAGCACGAAGCAGTAGCTAGCCGTTTTCAAAAAAAAAGTCAAACGGGCCCCTTGCTAGCTACCCCAAAATACCCGCGGTGTATTTAGCTAACCACAAAAACGTCCTAGCTCCAACGTTAATCATTGCTGCGTCATGAAAAGGCTTTCCATCCTATCACTCTTCCCTTGCTCAATCCTTCCCCTCCAATTCCTGATTCTGCCCCCTAACCCTCCCCTTTCCCCTTTCGACCTTTGATCTCTGTGCCCCCTTTCCCCCGGCCCTCCGGGCCTCCCCCGCTCCCTGGCTTGAGGGCTATTTCGAGCCACAGAACAGAGCTGGGCGGGAGGGGAAAAGGAAGAAAACAAAACCCTGGACCTGGCATTTCACTCCTCCAAATTTTTCGGGTTTGGGTAAGGCACCCAACACTTAAACCAAAGGCCCCAACCCCAGGAAATGGCCCAAAAGGGGGCCCCCAGAAAAACCCCCCAAAACAAAAAAAACAAAAAAAAAAAAAAAAAAAAAAAAACCCAAAAAAAAAAAAAAAAAAGACAAAAAAAAAAAAACAAAAAAAAACAAAAAAAAAAAAAAAAAAAAAAAAAAACAAAAAAAAAAAAAAAAAAAAAAAAAAAAAAAAAAAAAAAAAAAAAAAAAAAAAAAAAAAAAAAAACCCAAAAAAAAAAAAAAACCGAAAAAAAAAAAAAAAAAAAAAAAAAAAAAAAAAGGGCCGAAAAAAAAAAAAACCCCCCCCCCCAAAAAAAAAAAAAAAACCCCCCAAAAACCAACCCCAAAAACCCCCCCCCCAAAAAAACAAAACAAAAAAAAAAAAAAAAAAAAAACAAACAAAACCCCAAAAAAAAAAAAAGACAAAAAAAAAAAAAACCCAAAAAAAAAAAAAAAAAAAAAAAAAAAACAAAAAAAAAAAAACAAAAAAAAAAAAAAAAAAAAAAAAAAAAAAAAAAAAAAAAACAAACAAAAACCCCAAAAAAAAAAAAAAAAAACCAAAAAAAAAAAAAAAAAAAAAAAAAAAAAAAAAACCCAAAAAAAAAAAAAAAACCCCCAAAAAAAACAAAAAAAAAAAAAAACCAAAAACCCAAAACCCCCAAAAAAACCCCCCAAAAAAAAAAAAAAACCCCCCCCCAAAAAAAAAAAAAAAAAAAACCCCAAAAAAAAAAAAAAAAAAAAAAAAAAAAAAAAAACAAAAAAAAAAAAAAAAAAAAAAAAAAAAAAAAAAAAAAAAAAAACAAAAAAAAAAAAAAAAAAAAAAAAAAAAAAAACAAAAAAAAAAAAAACAAAAAAAAAAAAAAAAAAAAAAAAAAAAAAAAAAACAAAAAAAAAAAAAAAAACAAAAAAAAAAAAGAAACCCCCAAAAAAAAAAAAAAAAAAAAAAAAAAAAAACCCAAAAAAAAACCAAAAAAAAAAAACAAAAAAACAAAAAACCCCAAAAAAAAAAAAAAAAAAACCCCCAAACAAAACAAAAAAAAAAAAACCCCCCCCCCAAAACAAAAACCCCCAAAAAAAACCCCCCCCAAAACCCCCCCCACCCAAAAACCCCCCCCCCCAAACCCCCCCCCCCCCCCACCCCCCCAAAAAAAAACCCCAAAAAAAAAACCCACAAAAAAACCCCCCCCCCAAAAAAAAAAAACCAACCAAAAAAAAACCCAAAAAAAAACCCCCCACCCCCAAAAAAAAAAAACCCCCCCCAAAAAAAACCCAAACCCAAAAAAAAACAAAAAAAAAAAAAACCCCCCCCCACCCAAAAAAACCCCCCCCACCCCCCCCCCCCCCCCCCCCCCCTCCTCTCTCTCTGTGGATGACTTCGTCAACCACTTTGAAAAGAAGGTTGACGACATCCGATCCTCGTTTGTTAAGTCTAATGACACTGCTGGTCCTGCTCACACTGCCCTACCCTATGCTTTGACTTCTTTCTCCCCTCTCTCTCCAGATAAAATCCTGCGACTTGTGACTGCAGGCCGCCCAACAACCTGCCCGCTTGACCCCATCCCCTCCTCCCTTCTCCAGACCATCTCCGGTGACCTTCTCCCCTACCTCACCTCGCTGATCAACTCATCCTTGACCGCTGGCCATGTCCCTTCCGTCTTCAAGAGAGCGAGAGTTACTCCCCTTCTCAAAAAACCAACACTCGACCCCACTGATGTCAACAACTACAGACCAGTATCCCTTCTTTCTTTTCTTTCCAAAACTATTGAGCGTGCCGTCTTTAGCCAACTCTCTTGCTATCTCTCTCAGAATGACCTTCTTGATCCAAACCAATCAGGTTTCAGGACTGGTCATTCAACTGAGACTGCTCTTCTCTGTGTCACGGAGACTCTACGCACTGCTAAAGCTAACTCTCTCTCCTCTGCTCTTGTCCTTCTAGACCTGTCTGCTGCCTTTGATACTGTGAACCATCAGATCCTCCTCTCCACCCTCTCCGAGATGGGCATCTCCGGCGCGGCTCACTCCTGGATTGCGTCCTACCTGACCGGTCGCTCCTACCAAGTGGCGTGGCGGGAAGCTGTCTCCGCACCACGTGCTCTCACCACTGGTGTCCCCCAGGGATCGGTTCTGGGCCCTCTCCTTTTCTCCCTATACACCAAGTCACTTGGCTCTGTCATATCCTCACATGGCCTTTCCTATCATTGCTACGCTGACGATACACAACTAATCTTCTCCTTTCCCCCTTCTGATAACCAGGTGGCGAATCGCATCTCTGCATGTCTGGCAGACATATCAGTATGGATGACGGATCACCACCTCAAGCTGAACCCTGGCAAGACGGAGCTGCTCTTCCTCCCGGGGAAGGACTGCCCGTTCCATGATCTCGCCATCACGGTTGACAACTCCGCTGTGTCCTCCTCCCAGAGTGCGAAGAGCCTAGGCGTGACCCTGGACAACACCCTGTCGTTCTCCGCCAACATCAAGGCGGTGACCCGCTCCTGCAGGTTCATGCTCTACAACATTCGGAGAGTGCGACCCTGCCTTACACAGGAAGCGGCGCAGGTCCTGGTCCAGGCACTTGTCATCTCCCGTCTGGACTACTGCAACTCGCTGTTGGCTGGGCTCCCTGCCTGTGC